AAATCAAGTCAGTCATTATGGCAATGATGAGCTAAATAACGATAATCGATAAGAATAGTCATTTAGTTGTTTTAATGAATATAATTTGTTATAAAAATTAAGTAATTTGCAAAAATTATAAAATTATTTTAAGTGAATAAAGTTTTAAAAACTTTTATTCATTTACTGATTATCATGTTTAGCCATTTATGATCTCATTGAATCATTTCATAGCAACTAAACATTAATTGTTTCATATATTCACAGAATTTGTCGATAGGTTTGCAAAGCGGGCCAAAAAGTTTCCCCAAAGATGTCAACAAAACTGCTTCAGTCGAGTGGAAAGACTGGAGCGTTCGCTTAGAATTAAAGAAGTTTTTACAAACACTTTGTGCGACAAAAATTCATATGACTTCTACTAAAACCATTGAATCCGTTGCTGAACATTAGTATAGTATTCAAGTTTGCATATTAGAGGTTAGATACGAGTGACGGAACCATTGAATAGATAGATATCAACTCAGAGACCAACTATTCACACACTACAACTTTTGTATTAAATTTATTTTATAATTATTTCAGAATCATATAAAACCCTATTTGATATAAATTATAATTCATCTTTCATATAATTATCGCATAAATAATAAATATATTGTAATTTAATTATTGAGACAAATATTGTATTATTTAAAAAATTATTTATTTCGAGAATTATAATAAAAATATAAAATGATTGACAAATAATTCAATTACTCGTTAATTTAAATACTAGTTATGTATAAGAGTTAAGCCGACAATTGTTTGGGTTTGAAAAAACTGGTTATAGAGGACTGGGTTTTACTCTTCTTATCGTTTAGTGGTTTCTGTGGTTTAGTCTTCTTCTCGATGTTCTTGTTTTCAGTCTTAGGTTTAGGCTTTTGTTTCTCAACAACAGGTTTACTTGACTTCGGATCGGATTCCTCGCACTTCGGACTCTCAGACTTCTTGACCTCAACTTCTTTTCTGACGGTTTTGGTTACAAGATATCCGTCTTCATCCATATGTGTCTCCTGTTTCTCCTCTAATTTCTTAACAGGCTTTTGGTTAACCTCTTGAGTGCTCACAAACTTATCAATGGCCGACTCCTTGGGTTCATCGGAATCACTGTCTGATATGACGCGAACTCTTTTAAACTTTTTGGACCTCTTTTTGGTCACAATCTCTTCGTCTGAACTATCGTTCAAATCATTGTTTGAAGTTCTCTTCTTTGGATTCGCTTTTCTACCATTTTGTGGAATCTCTTCAATGTCACTATCCTTACCATTAATGTCTTCATTGTCTTTAACTTCAGGTTTGGTCTCCTCTTCGCTGTCACTCTTAAACGGGTCGTCGCTTTCGTTACAATCAATCGATTCTTTCTCTTCGTTTTCAATCGTCTTATTCTTGGAAAACATATTCGAGATCTTATTCTTCTGTTTCCCCTTTCCTTTAGCATTGGTTTTGGCCTTCGCTTTGCTGTTCACGACTTGTTTGCCATTCGATGCACTCTTTTCTTCCTCCACTTTCTTCTCTTCCTTCACATAAACCGTTGGTTTGATTCCACGTCTGCGACAATTTGGCCGCAAATTAATGTCTCGATTCGTGACATACGTTAAGCTAAACAACACATCATTTAATCATAATTTAGTTTTCATTGCAATTAAAACATTAATCAAATGAAATACTTCTGCAACTCTTTGATGTCATTTTGATCCTTCACTTCGTATTCATATTCTTTGAAATTCAGATCAATTGAGTTGTTGTCTTCACTCGAACTCACACTATATATATGTTTATTGAATCCGTTTCGGAACCACTCGATGGCTGACTCCATCTCTGATTCCTCGACAATCATGAATCTGTCCATCTGTTCACAAATAGGTCTCAATTAAAACAAACCAAACCTCTGGACCTAATCAACAAAACCTTGGTTTCCGTGTCATTAGTCTTGTTGTCGTTATTTCCTGACAACAGATAATTAAGACATAAATTGTTGCCATCCTTTCGTTGATCGCAAACAAATTGATCCAAAAGTCTGTAACAAATGATCAATGAGTTAATGAATGTCTGAATGTGTGGTCATATCTTTTTCCTGACAACAGATAATTAAGACATAAATTGTTGCCATCCTTTCGTTGATCGCAAACAAATTGATCCAAAAGTCTGTAACAAATGATCAATGAGTTAATGAATGTCTGAATGTGTGGTCATATCTTGAGCTCAAGACTCACTCAATGGCTCTCTTGACATGAACTCTGAATCTGACGCTCAGATAAGTGTAGGAAATCTGGTGACCAAATGATAAGACAATTAGTGGTCATAGAAATGCATTCAAATGGCAATACAAACACATTTCTTGTCCTCAATGACCAGTTTTGTCAATTCATTCATCACTTCTTCAGTCATTGAATCCATATTAAGCGACAATTCATTGGTTTTGCTCTCATTTGCACTCATTTTGTCAAATGTTTTGTTAGTTTTGCGCCAAAAATATCTCACATTTCACTCAAAATACTCTCAAAAGTCTCGCATTTGTCTCAAAAGTATTTTGCATTCAATTTAATTGTCTGTAAAATACAATCAATTTTAGACACAATTTATGCTTAAAATGGACTTTAAATTAATAATGCATTCAATTTAACACTCATTTCATGTGTTTTAATGAATCAAA